CCCCAAAACCCCAAAACCCCAAAACCCCTTAACAAACTAATATTTTTGAAAATTAATACCCATATTTATTCTTGTTCAGAGTCTTAAGGCCCTTGCTGATTTGCTTATCATGCATCAGCATTATCCCGTTCATGTTATAGCGTTCTTTTGCTTTATGGTGAGACTCTATCTGCTTCATACGGTCCTGCATCTGCTTTTGCATATACGATAACTTCTTTTGAGAAGTTGGTTGATAACCATTATGTAGAGACATAGAATTACTCACCATAGGGGGTCTTCGTAAGTGAACAGACCTGTTTTGTTTCAAGTTCTCCTGGCTTTTACCGACATTCAGTTTTCTATTCACCATCACTTGTTTTGATCTAGGCTGATATCTAGCAGGAGAGGTATTAATCAAATGCCCCGACCCATGATTTATTGCCATAGATTTATTAGAATCATTAACTCTTCCAAAGGTATAATCATAAGCTTGATTTATCGGCTTATGGATCTTCTTTACATTGATTGTTGATCTAGTTCTCTTATGAGACATTTGAGATTGGTTCATCTGTACTCCTCTTTTACTAATAGGACTCTGACCATGTGAAATATTGCTGATAACCGCAGTGTTATTAAGCCTAATGTTGGATCTAATCTTCTTCCTGGCTTTATCTCCTTTCTCAACTATCATAGCATCTTCATTATTAAGGATATCTGTAGGTTTAAAATCATCATCAGCTTCTATATTAAAGTCTGAATAATGCATTTGCTGAAGTAAATCCAGTGTAACCTTAGTCTGGGGATTCTCCCAGTTCGGGTTAACTGACTGCTTCTTTTTAATATCTGAATAATTAATTTTGCTGAGCTTCGTCTCATATTTCCTCTCATGTCTAAGTTTATCATGAATCAGTCTCATAGTTTCTCGATTTCTTTTCATCTTAGCTTTCTCAGCGGTTTCCCTTTTTAACTTTTGATTGAGTCGATCTTCCTTCATTTTCCTCACTTTTTCTTTTATTTCTTTAACTGGGACTTTAATCCTCTTCTTATTCTTCTTTGAACGGATTTCTTCCAGTCCAAGAGGAATTCTAGAGTCATGGTCCTTCACATCAAAAGCAAGTCTGATTCCTTTTGCTTTCCTTTTGTATTTTGACGGAGCATCAATTTCAAGGAATTTTATGAAATCCTCATAAATATCATCCTCATTCTTCTCTTGAAGGTCAAAAATCTGATCTTCTAGTTGATCTTTCTCATCCTCTAATTTATTTTCTGGTTCAGTTTGGTCCTCTTTAACTTCTCCTTCTTGGTCAGAATCTCCACTGTTGCTTGAACTGTCAGAATTAGAGCTAGAGCCAGATCCTGACTTACTAGACCCACTGGATTTAGACCTATGAGATTTATTTACTCTTGCTTTTGTGAGTGCTCTTCTCATTCTCCTTCTCAGCCGCTTTCTTGGCTTTCTTAGATTTCTTTAGTTTATCAGAGTCAATCTGGGTGTCTTGATCGACCTTCTTCTGCTTAATTGAAGTCTTCTCTTTATGTTCGTCTTGGTCAGAATCAGAGCCACTATTGGAGCTACTGCCACTACTTGATGAACTATGGCTGCTACCAGTTTGTGTCTTATGAGTTGGAGCTTCTCCGAGTAATTTTTTGACCTCCTTTAGTCTCTTACGTTTAGAGATAAGATCCCGTTTGTGTAAGAATAAAGATATTTTATGTAAGGTTTTTAGAAATTGAGGGAATTTGTGCGGTAAGTTTCTCTCAGCTTCTTTCTTATACATCAGCATTAAATTACTTCGGGGTATTTTTATACCAAAGTCCTTGCAGAATACCAAAAGTTCTCCAATATTTATGGTCTTTAAGGTATCTTCCAACTCTTCAAAAGGAAGGCCAGGAGGTATGTGCTGCTTAGCATAAAATGAAAAGATCTCTTGTAATGTTCTATTCCTCTTCTCTTCAACTGTTTCCTGATCTTTATTTATGAGGTCTATTATGATGCATATGATGATCTAGTTGCGTTCTCAAAGATCCCAATAACTTCTTTGCATCATTCTTCTCATCTAGGGATCCGAAATCATCTCTTTTGATCAATGTTTCATACTCAAAAATAGTTTTGTGAATTTTTCTTGTCAACTTATCATCTCCTTTAATACCATTTAACTTCGATTCTGGATTATCGTTGGGAAGATCATCTTCAAATTCTTCAGTGAGGTCAACAATAACAAAGAGTTCTTTAAGCCGATGCGCTATATCTCTGCTATGTTTGACTGGTTTATCCCTACTAGATTCTCTATACGTGCATGCTTGGTCTACAAAAGCCAGCAAGTCAGCTTGAAAATCTTCGTATGCTGTTTCTGATTCCTCAAGCTCCTTCTTATATTTTTCATCCTGGAACAGTATTGCTTTTGGGCTGTCTCGAAAGCTGCCTTTAGCACTCTCTACATCATCTTGTTTGTCATCTTCTGAAGAGGAGTCTCCACTATCTGATTTATTTACATTTTTATTTCCTTTCTTTACTTCTTTTTCTATATATTTAGCAATGGATTAATACTTTTAGGAGATTCCTTGGCATTCTTAGGACCCTTCTTGACTGCATCAGAAGATTCACCCTTCTTAGAGGCCTTGCTTTCTTCCTCACTTTCAGAATCAGAATTGTTTTTAGCAGCATTGTCAACACTGTTGTTGATAGGGTTTTTGAGAATAGTTTTCTTCATCCTCTCTCTTTGTTTCTGTCTGATCTCTTTATTATGCTTTTCTAGCCATATAAAATGAGTGAACTCATCGATAGCCTTTGCTGAACTTCTCTTAGGCTTATTTTTTGAGCGAGATTCCTCAGCTGTCATGATACCTAATCCAGTTAGGTAAGCGATATCATTAAGAATCTTGCCCATTTTATTAAGTTTTACAATGGTCTTCTTAAACCCCATTCCTGGAGAGGCATTTGGGAAGGCCATCTGGTTAAAATTTGGCCCAGTTTTATTAGGGTTTGATTCTTTTGAATCACTTTTATTAGATTCGCTTTTATCGCTGACAGATTTACTGCTCTTGCCATCATCAGAATTGGTTTTGCTCTCGTTGTCATTATCAGATTTTTTATCTGAGTCTCACTGGCTGTCCTTCTTCTCTTCGATTTTCTCTTTTTGAGGAGGTGTATCCATATAATTTTCAAAAATTTCCTTAATTTTCTCATGATGTTTCTCAATTTTGAGCTCGATTAGTTTCTTAAAGTTTTCTTTAGTCTCTTCTTCTTGCTCTTCGGCTATTGCTTCATCTTCTGAATTAGGATGCTCTAACTGGGAGGGAGCTAGGTCAAGGAGCTCATCGTTAAGGTCCTTAGCCAGACTTTCTGAATTAGCCCATTCTTGTATCAATTTTTGAAACTCATTAAATTTTATTTTGTACATGTCCATATTAGGTCTGTGCTTCTGGAGGATATAGTCCCGGAGAATGCATATCTCCGCTCCTAAGATTGTCTCAACTTGTTTCTCAAACACATGGATATCTTTTGTCAGGATTCCACTGTTGTAAGTCTGATATAGTTCATCTTTGTTCTCCTTAAAGCCCTCTATGATGTCTTTTACATAATCAGGACAGTTTATAGGGATAGTGAATTCTACATCTATACGTAAAAGTTATCATCTGAATTATCAGAAGTTATAATTTGACAAAATAAGATTAAATATTTGTAGAACTACCTTCTAATGGCTCCGGTGGACTCTCTTTGACTACTTGTTCCTGAGATTTAGGGCTTTTAGGTTCATCGCTCTTAGACTTATTGCTTTTAAGGCTCTTATCCTTAATACTGTTCTCACTTTTATGGCTTTTGCTACTTTTACTTCTATTTCCATCACTGCCATCGCTAGAACTATTGTTGCTTGAAGAACTGCTGCTATTTGCCTTTCTTTTCGTTTTGCTCAATTTTCTAAAGTAAAGATATATCTCCATGATTAACTATTTCCTACCTTTGATACTTTCTTCTCTTCAGTCTTCTTCCTATTCTGTTTAATTGGCTTAGCTTTCTTTCTATTCATTACTATATTTATTATCCAATTTTACCACCTTAAAAAGGGGTTTTGGGGTTTTGGGGTTTTGGGG